ATGCATCAAAATATGTAACAAATACATGTTACCATTAGATCATTGCACAATAAATGAGAGTTGTGCATCATGTGAACAAAGAATAAAACAAAGAATAAAAAGTTCTTACCGGGCTCGTTTGTCATTGCGGACCAGGTCAAGTACATGGTGTACAGGGTGACCAGGGAGGACTGCAGTAGGCCGGACCTGGGCTGGGACTCCTTAGGCCACGCGCGCAAAAGAGGCATCGGTCAGAAAAACTCACTCGATCGCGACACAGCGTCAAAGTCACGGCTTCAAGAGCCCGTCAAATAAGGGAAACGAGATGCTCACCTGGATCTGAGGCAGGACGGAAATGACGGACGCTCCGAGGCAGAGCAACATGTTGATGCTGATGAAGACCTTGTTCTCGGTGCATCCGTCAGAGTGGGTGTAGTAGACGTAGAACAAGACCACGGCCGCCAGGGACAACACGTAGTTGAGCGCAGTGACCGACAGCAGGGCTGCAAACGTGCCACCGAGTCATCACGGGCATTCCTATCTGGAAGCGTGTCTTGAGCGTGCTATCGCCGCTCCAAAAACGCTCCCCACTTGCCCGAGGTCCATACCTGCGTACCAGCAGCGTGAATTGCCCTCCTCCATCTTCTCGACCCAGGACTCGTTCCAGGAATGGGCAAAGTCAATGAGCAAAACCAACTGGATGAGGATGAAGCAGAACGCACCTGCCATTCCGATGTAGAACCACACTGCAAACAACAGGATCACAGAAGATCAAAGTAGATGTTCGGTCAAAAGAAGGTCGGCCAGCCCCGTTTGATACCGTCAGACGTGAAAGACACGGTAAGCTGCGGAAAGGGCATTTAAAGGGAAGTTACCGGTCGTAAAGGGACCCTCTGCGATGAAAAAAGATCCAACGGTGATGGCGACAGCCGCTGCGAACTTGAAGAACCAAAACCTGCAAAAGAAAGCGAATGAAAAGAATCCCCCGGACTCGTCTCAATGTTGCAAATGCCCCAGAAGTGTTTTTCTAATTCACTTGAGGTGGAGTCTGCTCATCATCACAGTCCACCACAGGATGTACAAACAAGCACATTCACATCTCTGAGCCATCTAGAGTCTTCCCGTAACATACGAGGCGGGTCACAAAAGATACCCAGCGGTCGCCACCTTTATTCCTATTCCCAATTGGCTTTGGCGACGACAGAGCTATGGTGGATCCAGCAGTGCTGGGGAGCAGCGTGACTTAAATAGGGAACAAAGTTGTACTTTGTCGTGGAATGGCCCCGGTCCCGGAACTTTTATGACGCGCCTTGTACGTGCTTCTTTCTGGGTCTGGTATTCACCCGTTATGCAGCGCAGCTCGGGGGTCTCTGCTGCTCTTGACTTTGATCATGAGCAGAGAAAAGAGAAGGAAAAAGATGGCCATTCCGAAGCAAACGCGGTACACCGCCTTGTAGCCGACCAGCACGTCACAGTTCACGTGGCCCTCCACGCCAGGAATGGATGACCCCATGCCTCCCTCGCAGAATCCCGGAATCTGAAGGAAGACAGAAACGGTGAAAGCTGTCAGTAATTTAGTCATTGACGAAGTGCACGAGGCAAAGTCGATGCACAAATTTACTCTACTTATTGGAGTGATCCAAGAGGCATTACAAGAAATCAGTTGACGTGACTTTCCATATGATGGTACTGGAATGGCATTTTTTGACAGGTAAACAGGAACGGTCTCGGAATGCATTTTAAGCCTCCCAACCCTGATTGCAGACATGCACGTGCGTTACCTTCTTCAAATGCTCCTCCATGCCCGGCATCAGCATGATGCAGGCGACTCCCACTCCCAGCAGAAGGAAGAAGGCGTAAATGAGGCGCGTCACCGTCGAGTTATTTCCACTGGGGCAGCAGCGACAAAGCAGACAGGGGGCGCTGCCGCACAGACACGGGATCTGCCCAGAACAAGGAGAAAATAGGTTATCCAAACTCATATTCCTGCAAGTAAATCACAAGGCATGGTGGCGACTGCGATTCGGCCCCAATGTCATTGCATATCGGGCCGGAAATCAAATTAATATAATCGTACTACGATGATACCGGACTCTTGTTTACATGGTGGCTGTGTCGCAATGGCTAACCTCATAGCAGCCTGTTTTGTTGACATCATCGCCAAAGCGTCTTTACCGTTCACGACACAGGACACAATTAACTCAAAATTCGGGGAATAAAGCAACCGGGTTGTCCTGCACTAATACGGACACTACTCAATGCTCCAGGTTGTCATTATGACAGAGTTTCTATTATAAAGTAAATCGACGAGACTTGTTTTGGCCTTTAATTCCACGAACGTAGAACATAAGCCAATCGAGGGATAACATTAGTCTTAAAGTATGATTGACCTTTACATCATGTGACATAATATTTACTCCATTGTAGGAAGTGTTGATCTGCGTCACCGTAAAATCACTCGGCCTTCAGTTTTGTTATTGCGCAGTCATGCCACCAAACGAGCAGGGGACAAAACAACAACAAACGCTACTCACACGCATAATTATATAATGTCCATTTCTTATCGACGACAAACGTGCTACGTACCCAGCTCGCCATGGAGCACAACCCCAGAACGGCTCCCATGATGATGTTTTCTCTTTTCCACTCGGATTCGGAGATGGCCGCGGGTCTCTAAACAGAAAATGGATGTTTCGACTGAACTGTAGTATGACTACTCTTCTTCTCTTCTCTGCCCGTGTCTTTTCACAATAGCACACAAAAAGACTACTGCCCCCTAGTGGACCGTTTGAGCACTCCACGTCATCTTTCTCAACTCAACTCAAATGTATTTATAGAGCACTTTCAAACAGCCATCGCTGCTTCCAAAGTGCTGTACATGGAACAACTAACATATACAACAGTAAAGCAACAAATCGGTCACAAAGACGGTTAGAAAGCACCGAACAACAAAACCAAGAACAAATCTGAGTCATCCTGAGTCAAATGGCAAAGAATACAAGTGAGTTTTGAGGCGGGTTTTAAAGATGGGCAGCGAGGAGGCTTGCCGAATGTTCAGTGGTAGGTCATTCCAGAGAGAGGGACCGGCAATAGAAAAGGCTCGATCTCCTCTGAGCCTCAATTTAGTTCTTGGTACTTCTAATCATGTCTGGTCCGCAGACCTGAGGCGCCGGGCAAGGTGTGTAGGGGCGGATGAGCTTCCTTGCTTTCCTCTGGGTCAAAAGGGGTACGTTTTTAAATAAAATCTTTTCGAAATGTTTTTTCCCATTATATGCATGGATATGATTTGTTAATTTTCAAATATGTAGAACTGTGTTAATGTTGAATGTATACCTATGGTAAAGTGTCTGCACCCGTGTGGGTTTTTACTGTTGGTTTTTGTTAGTTTTCTCTCTTTTTTGTTGGTATAACGTACTTTTCGTGAGGTCAGGTCAAAAATTACAAAAGGACATCTAAAATGATTTAGAAATTATTTGAAAATATAATCGCATCGCGTGGCTTGGTACAAAAAGACTTCTATTCTTGATAAACTTGGTGAAAAGGCAAATATGTACATATCCAATGATAATCTTAAAGGAGAAATATTGTGGATTTTTTTTCACCATTGAAATAGTTCCCAAATGTCTAAGGATTGTGCAATTTTTTTCGCAAATTAATCGGGCCGCAATTGAAGCTTTATTTAAAGGCTGAATAAACTGCTCGGAATACATTGACCAATACAGATGCACACAAGTGAAAGCTTCCATACAAACAAGAGGAACCAGATTAACAAAAGCAAAACAGCACATCATGTGAACGCGTTAAGGTCAGAGTTTTGGTTCACCGGGTGCCAACACCATCTTTCTGGGTTCCCCCGTGTTGGTGACAATGAGTTTCCTTCTTCAAGAGGAAAATTTGCATTTTCGACATACAGTGGAAATAAAAGTCTCCACACCCGTTCAAAACAAGTTTTGGGGTATTTTTAAAAAAAAAAAAAAACACAAACAGGATCAAGTCACTCCAAAACTCCTTCCATCATTGTAAACCTGATTTAAAAAAAAAAAAAAAAAAACGCAGTCTTTTCTTGGATAATTAAAAATAGACAACCGTGACAACTTGGTTGCACAAGTGTGCACACCCTCCTAAAAATCAAGTTCACCACATTCAAACTCATGCCCAGTGGAAGTCAGCAAAACCCTGCCGTGATTGAAAATGCATTTGATGAACCTCCAATAAGCTTCAGGAGATCCAGTAGGCTTTTGCTGTTATTTCTGCAGTCACATCTTGCAGCACGTCATGGTCTCGCGAACAGTTTCCACATCACATCAATCACATTGCTCAAAGTCATTAGGAGAAGCATATGAGTAAATACAATTCCCCAGGCATTGAATGTACCACCAAACGCAGGAAAAGACTGTCACCATCGAGTGGAGAAAAACAAAAACACTTCAAATCTCCCAAATGCAAGTGGCAAGATGTGTAACGTGTTGAAACTGGTCAGAGCTTTAAAAAAAAAAAAAAAGTATGGCAATTATCTCTTGGTTTCATTTTGATATCATAATAACCTGCCATTTGCTGAGGGGTGTGTGCACTTGTAATTCCACCAAATACCCACATTGTAGGAAGGCTTATTATTTGAACTTCTTCACATCGCCGAAGTTCAGGAGGCCATCAGAATAAAGTAGTGTAATAGTCAAGACCTGAAGGAATTTAAACCACAGTCACTGGCATATAAATAAGATAATGACAGGCACGGTGGCACTGTCTGGGTTGGCAACGGGAGGCATTCCAAGCTGTAACAAAATACTTGGTGGTTCCGTCATGAAAGGTCTTTGTGGAAAGAAGGTGATGTGGATAACAACATGCTGGAAAAAAAAAACACAACACACAAATCTGTCCATCAATAGTAGTGCGGTTTCTGTCTTGTTTGTGGATGTGACAACACACAACATAAGCGCCTTCGATGTTTGTTTAGTCGTCTACTGAGTTGACCGAGTCCTTTTTTGGACGGTTGCATCACCTTCACTCTGCATTGCTTTTTTTTTTTTTCCCCGTTTTGCACATGTACAAACAAAGCCTGCTCAAAACAACGTTACCCAAGTTTAATTGCTGCAAAATTGGTGAGAAAACTTGCAGACTACCCCGGTTGGCGTATGCGACCGTTCAACGAGCCCACTCGCAAGAAAATCCAAACACTGGAAGATCTACAGAAAAGAATGGTGAGACAAACTTACTCTGGTTGTCACAGACTCGATTCAGTACTCAAGAAAAAAAAAAAGGATTTGCACAATAAAACTTTGATGAGTGCGGCTGAGTGGTCTTAAGAGGAGCCGTGAGTGTCGGGAGGCTTGGAGGGAGTTTCCTCTGATGTTGCTTCACTGGTGATTGTGGTGTCTCCATTTTCTGTCCCGTTGTTCAGCGACATTCTCTCCAGACCCGCTGGAAGGTACAACGCAGTATCACAATTTTTTTTTTTTTTTTGTTTGTAAATACTGAACAATAGTGCCTTGAGATATGAGTAATGTGACTGATAAGTTTTTCAAGATACAAGCCGCCATGAGGACATTTTTTTTTTTTTTTTTTTAACTTTTACTTGTGAGCTGAAGTTTAAGAAATCCGAGTGCTGCATTGGTGGAGGTGAACTCAACGTAACTGAGAAAAAGCAGCCAAAAAGTGAAAACTTGTTCCAAAAAGAGGCTGCAATCTGTTTTATGCCACTCCCACTTGAAGTTTGCTGGCAAACTATACATATGACAATTGCATTTTGTGGCTTTTAAACAGCCAACAAACAACTGCTTGGCCCTGTTAGCTTAATGCTCGGGAGGATGGGGGCAGTATGTTGCGGCTCTTTAAGCCTTCAGGCAACGGTTTGAAAACAAACACCGCAGAAACAACGCAGAGACCAAATGTCTTAAACCTGCGGCCCGGGGCCCATTTGCGGTCAAGAGGATGATTGCCAACGTACCCTGTAATGACGCGGCTGCCGAGTTGCCGCTAGGTGGGGCCGTATTGTTCTCCAGCTCATCCAGGTAGAGTCTGTAGCGATGTCCGTTGTCGTCTTCATATTCCACATTCTCATCATCGCTGTCCACCTCTGGAGCCACGTACACCACTTCAAACTCGATCTGTCCTGACTGGGATGAGCGACCAACACACTCAGAGCTTTGGAGGAACACAGGTGTGCGCATGCAGTACCTGTTGGGAGAGAATGGTGACGGCCTCCTTGTGTTTGGCATCACGCAGATTGATGCTGTTGACGGCCAAAATGGCGTCTCCGACATGTAAGCCTCCACATCGGTCGGCGGGCTGGCTTGGGTGGATCTCTGAGATGAGAATCGGAACGCCGTGCTCCTTTCCTCCCTGAGAACACGGCGCACGCATACACACGCAAACGTACATATCGACATGTACATAAAAATACAAAAAGTTAAAGGTTCTGGCTTTGAGCACTCACCGTGATGGAGATACCCAGACCTTCATGGTCCTCTTTAACGAGCGACACCTTCCTGATAGGACCCACTCCTTGCGTTTTCTTCAGCAGGTCTGGATCCTACGACGATAGCCAAGAAATGAGCTCCGGAAACACGTCTCGGGCCAGAAGGTGGCATTTTGACACTCACGTGCCCAACAGGCGAGGGAAGCGGTTTCTTGGGATCATTGCGTCCCTTGCATGCTCTGATGACGGTTTTGTGGCGGTGAAGGTGGATCTCGGCCTCCAGTTGGTTCCACAGCTTGTCGTGTGCCGGCCCTTTCATGTCACGGCCCAGTAATTGGATTTGCTGCACCCTAGGATGAAAAAAACCCTTCTGTTTCTTCTTCAGGTGAACCTCCGAGTACAGGTTTGCTAGTTCAAGTTTGGCGAGACAAGCTTTCCGAGTCAAACATCTGAAAGCTCACAAGAACCCTTAATGTTCTTCACGCCTGACTTTGGGACCAAGCGCTTAAGATCTTCACCTGCCGCCGTGGGGACCTCGGTTGGTGCGCCAAGGTTTGCTTCTCAGAAATGGGTTTATGCAGAGAACACGTTAGGCAGTACAAACGTACGTGGCCGAGTACTGAAATGTAATATGCCGCAATTGAAGGTGACCACAAAAACCAACATAAAAACCATTCTGACAACCGCAATAAGGTCAGCAAGGTGAGGCAGGTGAGGTCAAGGCAACGTAGAACATGTCCACATCAACTTCAATGATCAACATTAGTTAAAACACCAGATTCGCTGCGGTACGGTTGGAATACACGGCAACATGATTCAAGTCAAATGGCTTACCTGCCAGCAAGTTCCTTATCCAGGTATTTGGCAGCCAGTCGAGCGCCGTACACCTCAGCCTGCAGTACTGCCATGTGCCGACGGAGAGCCTCGTTTTCTTTCTTAAAAAGTCTCACGTCAGCCTCAAGCCTCGCCTCTGCCAATTTCTCCTTTTTACTGTCCTCCAGCGCTTGTTGCTGCAACGCAGGACATCCCGCGTAAGCGTCACACACATGCACGTATGCACACGAGATCAGAAACACGGTGCAGCGCAAGAAACAGAAAAGAAACATTGTTGATTAAAAAACAAACAAAAAAAAAACAAAACAAAAGGCTTCTTTGTTCCCTTTATTATTATTTTTTTAAACGCCTCTACATATCATGTTTAGTGAATGCCTTTTAATGATTTCTCATGACTCGCGGAATCCATTTGAAACATTGTCCTTGTGTCATCTGCTGCCAGGGAAGCGAAAGATAAAAGTAACACTTGGGCAGGGATAATGGCTATGTAGACAATGAAGATTTGAGTTTGCTGAAAGAGCCATGCGTGTGCATTGAAAGTGCAATCTATCTTCCGTGACACCTGTTTGACAAAAGAATTGCTGGTGCTGCTGCTACGACTACGACTACAAAGACACGCACACTAACTTACCATGTGTTCCAATGATGGTGCAGGCTTTAGCGGAAAAAGAGGCAGAAGAAGAGAAAGAAGTCACAGATTAATAAGCGATTCAAGCATGAAACAGAGTTAATACTTTTTAATACAACTGGGCAGACCAGGTACGAATTTGGATCGAATCAGGATTGAAAGAAGGGCTCAGAGGTCATGATGGCGATGCAGAAGACGCAGAAAAGTCAGACAAGTGAAAAGGATGATAGAAGCCCAATTAAGAGGGAGTAGAGTGCAACAAGATCCCAGGGTAGGGAAAGAACCTGTTCACCGCCCATCTTTAAAGCTCATCTTAAAACTCGTTTTTATTCTTTGGCTTTTCACTCCTATTTGGTGTTTGACTGTTTTGGTGCTTTCTACTGTCTTCGTTAATCATTTGTTTTATTGTTGTTGTATGAATTATTTCGGCTCCAGGTACAGCACTTTGCATATGGAGGTGGTTGTTTTAACATGCTCTAGAAAGACACTTGAGTTGAGTTGTGTTGAGTGCGAAAGTGCTTTTTATGATAATCAACTTAAAAGTCAGGCAACCCAAAGTTGTCCACCAGCTACATACGAGTCTGTCTTTGATGGAATCGGAGTCTGGAGCTTGGCCTTCCTTGGCGTGGAGCTGCAACTGGAGAGCGTGAAGCTGCAGTAACTGGTCATGGACTTCTCTCTCCACGACTGCCCGCTCCGCTTTGACCTCACTTAGCTCAGAGCGGATATCTACAAGCTGGGCCTGGAAGGAAGGAAGGTGGTGAGGGACAGCAGAGGAGCTCAAGGAGCACATATACACACACACACACACACACACACACCATTGAAATCGCTGGTTCTTCTTTTAGCAATCAGATTGTAGATTTTTTTTACGATGGACGATATCAGACCATGATTGAAAATTCACTTCTATGGCGTACTTAAAAAAAACAAAAACGTATGAGGCCGTTTCAACCTATTAAAGTTCTGAAAACATTGGCGAAAGCGTGCATAGCGAATAGTCGGCTACTAACCTCGAGTTTGTGGTTCAGTTGGAAAACGGTCTGGGATTTGTGGCACAACTGAGCAAAGCAGGAGCTGAGGCTGGTCATCTTCTGCCGCCCCTCGTACGTAATGTCCACTTGATCGGGGTCGATTTCCCCGAGCAGCAGATCCACGTCCACGAAGGCTTTGTCAAACTCCTTCTCGAGCACTTCGAGCCAGCGAAACATTGACATACTCGAGCCGAGGGCCGAGTTGTGGCCCGCCGGAGAGCATCCAGCAGAGGCGGACATGGCGAAAACACAGCAAACGTTGACGCTAGGTCACTAGCCGCACAACGTAAGCTTGCTTTGAAGACGACAAATCTTTGTGAAAACCGCCTTGTTTTTGAAGCATGAAATAAAATCAAAATCACAATGACGCAATGATACGACAATTAAAGACGGGAAATATGTGATGTTATTTTTTTCCGATGACAGTCACTGCTGACCAGGAAGTCCCTCATCATCAGATCGTTCGTGCCAAGTGACTACTTCGGTCTGGGCCGCTCAAGGCAAAAGCAACGGAATGTCGAGCGATCACGTACGATCCAAGTCACATAAAAGGATCTGAAAAAGAGTCTGGCGAGGGGGCAAACAATCAAGTAGATCATCTATGAAGACTATGGATTGAAACGATTGATCAAAATCCAAAATGTCAACCGTGATTACGATTACATTTGGTGTGACATTTTGGAAATTACAGTCTTAGCTCCTCTGCAGTAAGAGAACTACAATAATTAATGAAGCGTCAAATTTGACTTGTCATTTTCAAATACTAATTCATTGTCATAAAAGAACTGAGGGGTATTTTTGTCACCAGAATGGTGTCTGTACGGTACTCTGTAGCAGTGAAGGCCATTTTTCTGTTTCTTCTTTGCCAAGCTGTAAAATTATCTTATTTTGACCAAAAGGTAAAAATGACAATTCACAATTGTGTGCCATGCCTATGTTTTGAAAGCCCCAAAATAAATATATATAGAGAGAGATATATCTCTCTATATATTGTGAACAGCATAACTGTCCTTGACTGGCCTTTATCGTGTCTCTTCAGTATTAGGTGAGTCACTACAACGTCTCCTCTTCATATGCTTTCCATCTTCTGCTTGGTGCTGCTCTGCATGTCCCGGAGGAGGAGGTGTCCCTGGGAAGCTCTGCCCATGCCCCAGAACCTGCCTGACAGTCATGTTGATCCTGGAGCTGTGGATGTACCTGGAGCATACAACCCAGTCCTCCTCGGACACCTGCTCCACAATAGCGCCACCCTGCCAGCTGCATCGCTCGGTGTCGAGATCCGCCACTTCCTGGTGGGCCGGAACAATGCGAGGCACGGCGTGGTAAAAGAGACGGCTCAGCCCTGACATGACCATAACATCTCCGCTGTGCATGTACATGGCGGTGGGACTATCCTGTCTGTGAGTGCCACCCAGGAGGAAGATCGCTGACTGGCCAAAACTGATAAAAGAAACACATTATGCCCGTGTTTGCAGTTGAATCGGTTTCTTTACTGTACAGGCACGAGAACGCCACGTTATTACAAACAAAATGCTACATGTTTTCATTGAAATCTACTGACATACCTGAAAGACAGCAGTGGGCGGCTGTGATCCAATTCGGATTCATCCACGTGGATTCCTAAAGAGGAATCCGACCTGTAGTAGTTGAGGATTCCAGCCTCGGCATTGAAGCCTGTAAAGCCGCAGGCAGTTGCTATTTGGTGAGACAGGAGGTGGAGCTCAGTTGGAAATGGAGTGTAGTGATTTGCGGAGTAAGTCTACGAAAAAGCATGAAACATGAGATTGGCTTCAGTTGAATGTGCACAAGAAATTGAAAACAAGTGCTTTCTTTATGGATGTCATGAACAAAAGATTTCACCATAACAACTTGGATTACCTTGCTGTTCCAGTTGTAATGATAGCCCAAGGTGACCCAGCGCAGCCTCTCCAGAAGAGTTCTGGGCTCCCTCTTTCCAACAGAAGGGCAACTGGCGAAAAGTTTGAGCACAGTCCTCACTTCATAAACATGCCAAGATGCATTGAAAAAAATTGTAAGGTTTGCAAAAAATAAATACATAAATAAATAAAAAATAAATTACCGAACTTGAAAGACATACGTAACTAATTTCTGTATCTTATATTTGTCATTATTTGGGTCTTAGGTAGGAGCTATTTATTTATTATTGACACATAAAACATCAAATCTCAGCTGAAAGGTTCTTGTCTTTTAAGACAAGTTCTATTTGCATACACGTCTGGTTTTAGTATTGGTATGCAGGAATACAGTCTGGTACACTTGCCTCACCTGAGGTTGGATACACTCTTGGCCCAGATGTCCTGGGTGTCAGTGGGAGACATGTGCATGTCTAGGTTGCAGATATTTGGCTTCTGAGGGTAAGTCTTCAAACACTGTCGAACCCAGAAGGGCTGGGAGCCGCGAAGGAATGGATTGGTGATGAAGATGAACCCTAAAAAACACAATACCATATAAAGTCAAAAGAAAGGCCCTTTAAGGAGAAAGCGTACTGAGGTTTTAGTTGACCATTCAATATTGTCATGATGATCTTAACGTTGTAGTCAAACTGTTGATTAATTTACCCGGATAGCCTTGCAAGGTGAAGGCTCTCCAGTCTTTGACATGATGTAATCCAACGTTGGCAGCGTCACCGTCACTAACGGCAGCTGGATCTAGTTTCACTGGACGTATCTGCCATATACACACACAGAATAATTCAGTCTAATTTTCAACGTTTTCCAACACACACACACACCCACACCCACACACACACACACTTTTTGTATGCGAAGAATATGACAAGTACTCATCACAGTTCAATTTACAGGAGACAGGTTGCTGCCAAGCAAATGTCCAGAATTACTTTAACCTTATTACGATGATGGTTTAAAATGTCCGAAAGGAACATTTAGATGAATACATAATTATTTTGATTAGTAAGTCATTAAAGTACACAATTGGTTGACATGCGCGTGGGGGGTGTCTGTTTTTCTTGATGTATTCATATTCGCATCACCTTGTCATTCGTCACACATTTGGAAAAATCAATAACATCGCTGAAATCCGGCGGAGGGTTTCTGCGCTTATACAACTTAAACATTTGTCGAAAAGCATCCTCTCCAGTTTCCACCATTGACGCCGCCATTTTCGCCATGTTTTAGTTCTACTTCTTCGACTCGTGTCGGTGTTGCGACTGCCACCAACTGGTAGGAGGGAGTTGCTGTGGTTCAGGACTCACACGCATCTGTGACAGTTTATTACCAGTCGAGAACAACGATAAAATAATAAATAGTCTTGATGCTTGAGTTAATTAAATATGTACATTTGTAAAAAAAAAAAAAAACGAAAATAAAATATAGGCAAAATAGGAAACGGAAGTTCCACATTGCTTCCGAGGTCAAAGTTTCAATTCAGGTCAGAACATGGCGACGTCGTCGAGAAAAGTGTTTGAGGTTTTTGTATCAAAGGTCCCATGGACAGTTGCTGGCAGTGAGTTGTTTTCAATTTTCATTTTAAATACAGCGTTCATTGTATGTGCCAGTAATAAGCGTCCTTTCACTGAATGTTTTATGCGTTTACGCCCTTTGTTTATTAAGCAGTCACCTCTACTAGCTACCATTGCTAATCCTTCTGTGCTGGATGCGTTGACTTGTCTTTCAGAGGAGATGAGGGAGTACTTTGGACAGTTTGGACAAGTTAAAAGGTGCCTACTACCATTTGTAAGTAACCCCATAGACGAGTCAACTGTGGAACATCCCTTCTTCGGCCTATCTTATTCATTTCTTTGTTCGACGTGATGTGCTTCGTAACAGGATAAAGAAACTGGCTTCCACAGAGGATTCTGTTGGGTGGGTTTCAGCACAGAGGAGGGACTGAACAATGCACTGCAGAAAGAGCCACACTTACTGGAGGGAGTTAAGGTAGAGTCCTGATGCCTTGGATCTACATTGCTGTTTATGCCGACGAGTGTAAAGATATCTTTTAATCAAGAGGATCTGTATGCATCCCAATATGAAACCCAAATGGTTTTAATATTTGTTCATAATATCAGAGCTTGAACAAAATCCAGAATGCTCCAAAATCTGCACATTTGATTTCACAAACTGCAGAAAACAGACTGTTTATTATCGAAAGGATCAATATGACTTCAAACTTATATATTAAAAAAAAAAGTTCTTCAAAAGACCTTTTAAAGGTGTCATGGACTTTTATGTGTTTTCAGCTTCAGGTTCAGAAGAACCAGCGGCCATTTTCTGGACGGAAGTCAAACAAAAATGAAAATGAGTGAAGCACCCATTGTGTCCCTCCCCGTGATCTCCTGGAAAAGTTATTTTGTGTGTGTGTGTTAACATCTATGTGTTATACTGATTCTTTGTGAGCCTGAGTATCTCTGAATAGTTTTTAGTTCTTTCTCTCATGTCAATACAATGTACTGCATTTCTTGTTTCCAATGTACATCAATTAAAAAAAGTAATTCAAACCCAGTTTGGTGACTGCTCTGGTTATCTGATGAAAGCAAGCACAGACGAAAGATCTTGTGACAGTTAGTCTATACGGGTTAACTATTTCTGATCTGATTACATTTCATATAATGCATGTCATTTTATGTTCATCCCTCCCCAAAATGATTTTTTTTTATGCTTATGCCTAGTGGAGGGTGAATACTGTGAAGTGCGTCATGAAGAAGTCACCATTGAAAAGCAAATGCAAGCTTAAGGGTGTTCATCATGAATATCAAAGAACTAAAAGGAAGAAAGTAAAGCCAAATTCTGTCTTTTTTTTAATTTTTATTTGGGCTGAAACATGTATACAGATAATTTAACCAGTTTACTGTGTTGCAGAGGTATTTGTATTTTTTTTTTTACTTCCAAACATAAATGCATTTGTTTTAAATAAGATAAAATGTGGCAGATCTATCTGTAAACAAAATTACAATCACCCATATCATTACAAAAACAAACCAAAAAACATTGAATAGCGCTAAAGAAAAATGACTCACGTTTTGTCTCCTCCATGAAGAATAAAATATTTACAAGTCCTTCGAGTTGAAACATTGCTACTTCCATCATGATCAAATGCTGCAAATACTGAGCGTGCAAACATGGGCGATGCAATCCATGCCAACAAGTGATCACAGTATAAAAGTGTCATGAATGACATGGCGTGAAAGCTGAAATAGCAGAAACTGAGGTGTTGAGGGGAATCTTCCAAAGCACAAAGCTGATAAGCCACAAAAAGAACTGTACAGGAAAGCTACTTGTGGGTCCTGAGAAAAATACAAATTGATGTTGCTTAGTACATCTTATTTCGATCCCATCCGTCAAACAGAGCTCGTGAAAAAAAACAACCCAGAAAAATCCCAATTGGAGCTAAAAATCTAACGAGTGGTTTTGTTTTACCTCAAGTATAAAAACAAATGTATATATACAAAAATTACATCCTACCAAGACTTTCTTTGCAGAGGCATCATTTTTGCATCACATTGCAAAAGATATTTTCTTCCTCATTCTTTTGCAAATAATTTATGAGGTCAATAAAAGTCCGTGTTGTAAAAGCTTTCTTGAAATGTACTGAATGGAGGGGGGGGGAGGGGGGGTTCAATTTTTTTCTTTTAAAATACTAATGCAGGTCATGACCCCCAAAAAACAAAGTCATCGGTGTAAATACTGGCTCAAAAAGCATCCGGCATCAGTCCACTCAGTAGACACGGGGGATTATCCGGTAGCGGACCGTTCGGCAGTATTCGTCCCAGGCCGAGCCGTATTTCCTCCTACAATCGCTCATGTCCCGAGAGTTCCGGTGCACCAGCAGGATGATGAAGTAGATCATGTAGTACCACGGCAGCAAGTGACTAAAGCCTACACAACAAAATGTCGTCTTACAATCACTGAGTGTGGTCTAAGCATTATAGATTTGAAAAGTCGGATATTTTAACAAGGGGGTTTCCAGAGCATATCAATTGTATAGTCCCTGGTAACAGTGTATAATATTGCTGGCGAATGAAACGTGAGTTTTATTTATTTATTTTTATTACAGAGTGGGAACAGAATAGGATCGTAGTCATGATGACGATAATTATACATCCTTACTTGTAATTGGAGCTGGAACACAGGAATTTGTTTTTTGAAAAGTTTGGTTTCGTGATCTTGTTACTCTGTGCTTTGACTAGTATTGTTAATTCACTTTGACAATCAAGCAACACGCACACAAATATAAAGGAAGAAATTTATCTTTTTTTTTAGATTGTTTTTGGACAGGAAAAAAAAAACCACTACAATTTGGAAATCAGCAGCATTTGTGAAATGTGACTTACCACAGGGTATTGACCAGGCCAGAGCCATGATGAGGTCTCCTAAGTAGTTCGGGTGACGGACGACACCCCACCAACCAGACACCAGCAGACTCTTTCCTGTTGCTGTGGGAATAGTTCTCAGATCTGTTTTTTTTTTTTAAGGAAAATAGCACATAGTAAGAACAATGAACACATGTGAGAAGATCCAATAGAAGATCCAACACTTACATGACAGTTTAGGGTCTGATGGGTTTCTCCTGAAGGCATTTTTCTCAGAGTTGGACGTTCTGAAGATGTAGAAGCCGATCACTGCACGGGAGACGGGCAATGGAGGAAATGCAATTACTGGGATTCGCGCAACACTACACTGCCGAACTTAGCGAGTTGCGCTCTCTTCTCACATTTCAGCAAGATGATGGCAGCGACGGCCGCGAGGCTCAGCTCATTTGGGTGGCTAACCAAATAATAGGCCTGCAGGGTATAGGTAAAAGGCACCCACACCAGGTCTCCAAAGGCCAACATGAAGCCAAAGCCATCATGCATCAAGTCCATGGTGGTCAAGATGGCTTCCTGAAATAAAATTTGCATTCAACTAACATGATCAAAGAGCGAACTTGATGAAGTCTTTTCGGTTTCTAAAAGGTATAGGAAAATTAAATCATTGAGGTTCCGCCAACAAGTCTTCTGTGTACCTCATTCCAAAGGCCGTCGACGACATAGAGCAGCTGGAAAGCATTCACGAGAATCATGGAATAGGACGGCGTGTCCAAACCTTGCTGCTCCATCTCTGCCATCGCAAACGCAAAGTTGATCAAGCACTGAAAAACAGATCCACGGTCATTACACACAAGTTGTCAGGGATGGACTCAATCATGTCACCGTAATCCAAAGACAAGTAACGTTAGACCCAAAAATCCAGTTCATTAAATTTGCCAAGAAATGGGATAACATGTGTAGTACTGGAAACGTGTTCACCGCCAAATCTTCAAACATCCAAATAATTCCAGATCAATTCAGCATACAGCATTTTGTATGCAGCGGTGGTTGTGTTCAAGTGCTCTATGTGTTGAATTGAGAGTAGCGCCAACGGAAACAATGACAAAATAATGAAAAGTCTACCACGGGCAAATTTAGTCGTGACAATTCACATGAGACTAATTTGTTGCACGTGCACCAAACCTACTAAATGGCTTGGGCTTGCCTTTCATGTCCACTCACCCAGCCGATTAGTCCCGGACGCATCTCACAGAAGAATTTCAAATCAAAATTTTTAATGCGGGGATTGAGCTCATGTCCCTTGAAGAAGTCATACACCATATTGCCTGGAAATAGATGAAGAAAATGAATTCATAAGGCAGACGGGGCATAATGAGGTGTACGTTTTTCTTCATCTTGGCGTTACCGGAGCTTCCCCCAAGCGCCTGCTGGTCCGGCGGAGCGTAGCGGGAACGTATGTACAGGTAGACACTGAGCAGAACAGAGATGAGGAAGGAAGCTACAGCAAGTTGCAAGAAGTGGCTGTGGATGTACGTGAGGTCAATCCCCTGGTGGACGGCTGCGGCAACAACCGCGGCACTCATCGCAATGGCAAAGAAACCTGATCAAAAGAAAGCAGCAATTAGGGATGACACAGGACCTAACTAAACATGCACTCCTTTCACTATAAATACTTTGAGATGGCTTGCATTAGGCTAAACAGTCACTCTGTCAGCTCTTCCGCAGATGTGCCGAGAGTGAGAGTTCAAAGCTACCATAAGACCCCCCCACCTCCCCGCACCCCACCCCCCGGAAGCTTACCATTGGTTCTGTACGTCAGCCTCTCCCCGGACCTCAGTGGCATGCCCTCGCTCAGCTGCAAAAGAGGGGGAGAATTAATAGCTTCGCTCACTGCCGAAGCGAGAATCATTTAAGGTGCACAACATAGAACGGCTTAATGGACAAATTTGGTTATTGTGTATAGTTCACAGCTGTTTCCTAACCTTTCCCACAGGCAGGATGTAGAGGAGGACCTGAAATAAGATCCACAGGATGACCAAGCCCAGGGCCCGAGCATCCCAAAAAGTCTCCAGGGGTGGGAAAGGGGGTGGGAAGTTGACTAAGCTGGGGTCCTTCAAGTTGACTTGAAGAATCACAAAAAGAACCCAGGATGGCAGGAAGAGCAACCAGAAGTACGCCCCTGAAAGATGAGAGAAGCAACAAGTTCACAAAACCTCAAAGTCTGATGTCATATTGGCATGTCTACAAATGCCAATTGTGAATACCGTACAATGATTTGGAAATCATTTTCAAATTCGATTTGATGGAACATGCTGTTGCTCAAATTGATCGAGTTGTGTTTTTGCGTCTCCGAGTAGGTGGGGTCGGAGGGCATGTCCTCCAGCGCCGCACCCATTCATCGTTATCCTCAATGGACTACTTCAGGACTGCCTCGCAGACCGCTTGCTGTCACATTGTTGTGTTTCTCATAGTGGTGTGTTTCATTTCCCGGTGTTTTGTCGTTACTTTGACTTTTTGGGTTTTTCAGGACTTTGTAAGTGCTACCGATTTAGTTTTTCCAGCGTAACCCTGCAGGTGTTTTTATACGCGCTCCCTTTACTCTACTGGGTGTGATGTGGTTCTCTCTGTGTTTTGCAACACAAATTACAGCAGTGTGACTTGAATTTTGCCTGAAGGGGTTACAGTGAGTATATATTATAAAAAAAAAAAAAAAAAAAAAAAAGCAAAATGTAGACAAAAATCTCAGGTGCATCCAGGAACGTACCAATCTTGCCCCCAAAGTCAAGCTGGGTGGAGACCGTCGCAGCAGTCCTCGTGACCTCTTTGGTCTCCTCCAGGCGGTGTGGTTTGGTCTCGCTATCGTGCTTCCTGCGGCGCAGATTATAGCGACTCTGGTTCTTCTCTGTCTCCATCTTTGCCTCAGACTTGCCAAGACAAAAGCCAGGTTTTATTTCATCAGGAATAATTGGAAAGCTGCCCTGGAAACTGTCTTCTGATGAGTCCAACATTGCACATGCGTGCTGTACATAAAGTTTGTTTTCTGGAACAACATAAACCCGTTTTCATCGCAGAGATACAATCCAGACGTCACATGAATGGCAAAACACCACAAGAGAGGGACAACTTGGGGATTATCTGTTTTACCGTGGATTTATGAACATCAAAAGAGGTTGCCTTTGTGGACCTTTCCGGCTAATTGAAAGTGATCAAATTGAACTCACCTCATTTACTTTGTTTGCAGTGTTATTCTCTTCTTTGTTTTCGTGCTTATTGTTGCGATTGCTCTCGGCAGCCATTATGGGCTGCTGCTGTCAAACAACGGATGAAGCGTATAGGGGGATGGACAGGGACCCAAAAAAACAACACAAAAAAAACAGACAAATGGACAAAAAAGACAAATGTGGGCAAATGGAAACGTGACAGTGGTGTGTCAAAAACATGAATCACAGAAAAACCCCGCCCTTTTTTTAAATTGACCTACGAGGACTCTAGCAGGGTTTTTCCTGCGTTCAAAATCGCGTAGCGGCCGCTTCCAGCTAATTTTGTACAGTGCAGACTACAACGAAAAACTTGTCTTTGAAAGGGCATAATTTAGAGCAAAGTTTTTATTCATCTATTTCTTTAGTCAAGAGAGGAATAAGGCAGGTAGGCCTCTTACCAGAGGACTGAGTAGGACTTCAACCATTTCGTGCAACTTTGCATCCTCGTGTGACGATGGCACGGTCTCCGTTACTGCTGCAGCGGCGGCCGCCGCCACGCGTGAGGTAGAACGGTGCATGGATCTACCCGGGGACCGGGAGTGGCTGCGACGGCGGCCCGGTGATCGGGAACGAGAGCGAGAGTGGGACCGCGGCTGGAAACAATAAGATTTCTGGAAGCCATAGTTGAAAATGTGTTGAAATGAAATACAGATTCTTTTTGTTGATGACACAAATTGAACGAGAAACACACACACAAATGCAAAAAGAAAACACAAGCAAGCAGCATATATGCAAACTGAATTAAATGCGTGATAACTGGTCCACTCAACGGACCCAAGCACCAGATGTCACTCACTGGGCCACGCCCCTTAAAGGCACCCATTTTAACAGTAGCTGTTGTGAAAAGAGTCTATTTTATTCTGTTTAAATATTATGTTACAGGTCAGTGCGATTTTTCTTCTTTCAATACACTTGGGGCTCTATTTTCGTACACAGGTGCACGTAACGGAGTGAGTTAAACATGATATGGGTCGGATAAATGGTGGAAAATCTTTTGAAATGATTTATCTTGGTCTCCCATTTTCTATATAACCCCCCACCCTCCCCCCCTCAAAAAAAAAAAACACGTTGCAAAAAGATGTGTGTCGATATTTTAAATCCACTGTAAGCTCTGCTGCTACCTTGATGTCCTGCTCCTTCAGCTCAAGCTCAGTTCCATCCTTGTAGATGACCGTGTAGAGTTGACTTTTGGCTTCGAAACCCAAAACCTTCACTTCGTAGTACAGGTTGCTGCCAGGCCAGCGGCCCATCACCATGTCCCCTTTGTGGTACTTCACACTCGGCATTGTCTTCTACTCCAAGAAGAAATATGAAAGACAAAGGATGGGAAAATAACAGCAGAGTAAGAAAGGGGGCAATGCTTGAAAAAAATAAAAATAAAAATGCTGGAAGCAGTAATTTGTATTTCAAACAAGCGCAAAGTAAAATTCATGGTCTTCACAGACTATGTGCGCCGTGCCCCCAGAAGCACAACAATGTACGTAGCGGGTCAATCGGTAACATTTCTCATCAACGGAGGGGAATCCCGCGCTGGACAGGTACGTCAGCAAGGTCCCAGCGGCAATTACCTTCCCACAATTCGTTGTAACGAAGGCCTTTTCACTATTTTGTGGGAAAAATCCGGTCGCTATAATGACGTTTGCATGATTACAGTGTTCGTTGTAAGCAAAAGGAAAATGAATGACATAAAATCAGGACAGTGAAATGTGAACGTTATAGGATTGGTCGCGTTGTAAACGGGGTACGTTGAAACGAGGTTCGACTGGATCCATTGGTGGTTGGTTTACTGTTATTGTTCGACCAATTCTTCAACAGCGGAGTGTTTGTTTTTCCATCAGATTTTGTGACAAAATTCCTTGGATTATTAGACCTAGTATACTAAACTGTAAACAAGGGAACTGCACCTGCTCAGCGTATCTCCGGGACTCCTAATCTCCAGCTGCAACCAATTTAGAATGGTAGAATCCCGCTATAGTACATGCCAGGGGCTACAATAAGGTTGGCCCGGCAAGGTCAGCATTATCCATCATCAGTGACCAGAGAGGCTCAGTGTGTGGAAAACCAACACCAAGGCAGAACTGCTGACAGGTCCGTCCCTGCTCGGTTTAACCAGAGCCATGTGTCATTTGAGGAAGGATCATCCATCCACTTTGTCAAGCAAACGCTTTCACTGCCACTGTCCATTATACCAGCGAGTGTGAAGACAATAGAGTTTTAGCTTGGGCCACCAAATATGTTTCACAAATGGCTTTTCCTAATGAATCATCGCTAATGAAAAGTTTGACCTGAAACGTATGACTTTTGTTTCAATTATTTTCAGAGGAAAACAAACAATGTGTTTTATCATTTAAAGTGATCCATGTAGAGGTCAAAGCACTAAGGATGAGAAATCTTCCCCAAAAAAGTTTCACCAAATAATTAAAGCTAAATCAAATGGGTCGCAGTTATAAACCAATTTCACTACCAAAAAGCAAAGCTGACTTCTTACTCACTGGCAAGTTGGCGCACCGGGATTACTGCAGTCAGGCAGGCAAAAACAAACGTACAAAAAAAAATACAACTTAAAATTCAGAGAATGACAGACACACCCAAAGTTAGTTCCTGCGACGTGTCCTGGTGCATATGGGAAGTTAGTTTCCCATCAAATGGCTCAGAGGCCAGCGTGTGCGTGTGTGTTTGGAGGGGGGATACAGCATGTGAATCAGACTGGAAAAAAGTCTCACCACAGATCTGATAACAGCACCCGTAACAAGAACAACTCTTTTTGTCTTTTAAGTGCTTGAGCTCTTTTTGTAATATCTATTTGATTCACCCATGTGAGGATAAGTGAATTAGAAAATGGATGGGCATCTATTTGATTCGCTAATATATATCATTACCGTGTTAAATGAGTCGTTTGATCATGACTTCATTTTGGGAAATGTAACCGTCAAACATCTTGTATATAATGAATCCCATCACATCTAACAAATGTAACAAAATCATTAAATGAAATAATGACTATGGGATACTCATAATTTATTTCTGTAGAGATGAGGGGATAATTTGGTGACTATTTGTTCTAAATAGATATACATACATATGTGTGTTTATATAGAGAGAGATATATATATACGTATATGTTGTGTATACACACACACACACACACACACACACACACACATATAAAGTCTCGATCTATATATTCCCCCTGAAGGTCAAAAAAACAAAATGAGTCAAAACATTAAAAGTCTTACAGGGGACAAAACTCCAAAGAGTAATATTAAATGGTAAAAAAAAAAATTACGTGAGATCAATATTAATAGGGCGTCTGAAAGTTTAATTCATGATAAGTACAATGTATACACACACACACACACACACACACACACACACACAATAGCTGCTTCTTTTACGTTGGCTTGAACGTCGTCCCGCTCCACTGAAAGAAGGGAGGGAAAACGTCATGCATTCAAATTGTGTTGACGAAACACACACCCTCGCACACTAAAGCATTCGGCCAAGAACCCACTGCAGTGGGGAAAAAAAAAAGGCACCTCACAACGTGTGGGGCAAAACAAAACAAATACTACTCGTAGTCATCTGAATTAGAACGTCTTACTTCTCGTAAGTTCATAGTCAGTGTCTAATTCCTGAACTTCAACCATGAACGTTACCCCCAGTCGTTTGTGACGTTAAAAAGTTGTAACAACGCAACGATAATCGTGAACAGAACCGAATAGCGCCATGAAATAGATCAAATAGAAGTGTGAATTTGGGGGGAAATATATATAAACATATACCGTATACGAAGCTATGGTTGTGTTCCCCGCATCGGTAAAACAAGTAGGGCTAAGTCAGGAATTAGTCGGAGTCACGATACCTCAGATCAAGCCCTAGTTCCGAGCTAGCTGCAGCTAATGCCAATCAAGTCCCTGAGAAGAGAAACGGGAAGCGGTTTGATCATTCGCAACACAAACGTGCGCGAGAGAGAGATGCACTTACCACTCGCTTCGATAAATCCTAATGTGGAAAAAACGAGTTAAAAAACTTCCCGCAACAAAGTTACGACCTCAAAAAATCAATCTTAATATTTGAAATTGCAAGTCCACGAACGTCTGACGTAGGCGTATATCTCCCTCCCTCTCGACAAAAGCCACTGGTGACCGAGAAAGCGCGAAGGCGGCTGATTGGCCAGCTCCGCAACATTTCAAACTGTTCTGCGTGATCTCATTGGTTGTCACGAGATTTTAACTGCGTTGGGGCGCGCGAGCCCAGACAGGCAAATTAATACACTGCACCTAAGGAACAATGTACTGGGAGTTTAATGGTGTGTGTCAAATGGACTCGCTGGGGCTTTAAAAACAACTTAGAACAAGAATTTAGATAATGCAGCAATCTTGAAATGTCAAGAATGAAAACGTGTGTGGGCCCGCTTTGTCACACCACCTCAATAGAAGCCCAACTGAATTGTCTTGCTCATCTTACAAATTCTTCCTTTTGGGATATCGCGCCACAAACTGCAATAAGCAACCAGCTCAAGCAATGTGAACTGACAAGAGAGCCAAGAGACAGATGCACGCCTTATTTTACATGCATACTTTGTTTTTAGTTACCCAATCCAAGTACTGTAACATAAGGCAACCCAGGGTGTTTTCCTGTGTCAGAGTTTAGCCTCACGTGGAGGCAAGCCAAAAACAAAACCCTCAAACGAACTGCAAATGCACAGCCAGGCCTCGGTATGTCACGCCCTCAAGCAGAAAAGCATTTTACAACAAATAAACTGCAGGAAGCTTCCTTTCATACTTGCAATTACTTTCACCTGTAACAAAGCGCTTAACAAAATGATCAGAGGAAAAGACAACATTGTTTTGATCAGAGAGCAAGAACAACTAAAGGAAGCTTCCTGCAGTTTATTCATACTTGCAATTACTTTCATCACTGCAGAAGGCAACAATATGCAATTTCACCTTTTAATCCCGTATCATTTTAAAATCCACAATTTGTGTTAGAATGTTGACGTTGAGTAATTTGGTCTGTTTCATGTAGTTCTGTCTATCAAGCTGTGTTACATTTTGCGCTATGATGAGGTCAACTGCTGAAACATTGCTTGAATATTCTGCAATCACCACCTTGATTTTATGACATCATTAAAAGAAGGTATGAATTGTGGCAATCGCATGAAAGCCTGTGGAAATAATTTACAATACGTGCAGTTTCATTTTGGGTGTTATTTGCTCTTCCTCTTCCTGTTCTTCACACGCAGGGTGAATGTAGGGCGCTGTGGCGCAGATGTGCTCACACCTGGGAGCGACAATTCAAAATTACATTCTTCAACTACTGCAAGATTACAAACATAGAAGAACTAGTGCAAGTCTGGTGTTAAATTCCAAAGACATTTAATGGAACGGGGGGGGGAATGAGCTCCAGAACCATAATCATAAAACCTTTCATACTGTGGAGTAACCTAACGTCAACATTTTTGATTTAAGCAGGTTAAATACACATTGAGATTTAGAAACTCTGCCGTACTCATCATAGATTTAAAAAGAAAACAATACATAAATAACCTTGCGAGCCATGTCAAATGTCATTTTTTGTATTTTTTATTTCTTTTTTGGTCATGTCGCGGGCCGCTGAAAAATGGATGACGGGCCGTAAATGGCCCCCGGGCCACAGAACGGACACCAGCGGTTCAAGCGTTTCCACCACATTTTGATCGCCTTACAAACGGCGACATAATTGCGACCGTAATAACAACAGATGGACCAAGTCATGACTTTTATGTCTTGTATTGCAATTTTATTTAACTCGGCTCAAACAAAACAAAAATGTTAAGCATGTAAGAAAAGACTCATTAACATGAACACAGTATAGTACACCACGCGGATGTTAAAAGAACACGTCTGCAAAGCCACCCTTTCCAAACGTGCTGTGCGCCTTCAAGCTCTGCACCCCCTCCACAACTTTGCAAAAGTTCTTGCAAAATCCCAATTCCTTTTCCCCGCCATATAAGCCAACACAAACAAGTGTTTCCATCACTGAACAGAACAGAACATATGGACAGAGACGCTCCTCATCCTAATTCCAAATTACCCCCCCCAAAGTACTTTTTTAAACACATTTTACTGGCGTGAGGGACTCGCATGTCTTACAAACTAAGTGTGAAGATCTCACCTTAACCCTTGTAGGTCAACATCTGATTGTACTTCATAGTAAAAAAAAAAAAAAAAAAAAACTCAACTTGGTGGAAAACAACCAAGCAGATCTTCCTGGTGAGGAACAGTACCAAGGTCATTGAGCTCCCTCTTCACAGGAACATCTAACGCTCTAGCAATACACAAATATTATTACTGGTCATCTATTAAAATGCAACTTCGGAACAAGGCACAAACCACATGGATTCGACGGAGATTGCAACATTTCACCTGTCCGATAAGCGGGTGCACAGCGCATTTAACATATGCCTCGACGATGAAATCCCTCGGCAGCGACGAGTGAAAAACGAAGCAAGGCGACTTTGTTGAGTATGATTGTTGGTCGAGTCCTTTGGTGAGAAATGGTCACATTGCGGCTGTGACCTTTCTGAGCGTGTCTCGTGGTTTCGTACTAAAGTGCAATAGCCTCTTGGTTGGATATTGAAAATAAAGTCGTGGATTTCGAGATGAAGTATTAAAAAGTGAATTCAAACCTGTATGTCTTTGCTGCTTTGGCTCGAATATGTTTTAAAGGAATGGGTGCATAAAAAAAAAAAAAATCAAAATCACATGTCGATCGATTTCAATGTTCCCCGACACCGCCTGTGTCGTCTTCTGTCTATCTGTTCCCACAACAATTTGCAGTCTTTTGTCACTTAGCGGCGAAAAGATACCAATTGAACAAATGTAACTTCAAATATATTGATACTTTAGCCACGCATCGGAGTATGTGTTCCATCGCCTCCTAATTTATGTGGTGCACTGAAGATTGTGTTGAAGTTTTGCAACACTGCTGTGCCATTTGTTTTGCATGTTCTTTTTCACAGCATTGTGCGGGTCCGTGAAAAGCTTGTTCAATGAGATTAGTATCAAATTGTTTACAAGGTGTAAAAAAAAAAAAAAAAAGTTTATCTTAATTGTCTGGAAACGTTTTTGTTACTTTAAGGCAAAAAAAAAAAAAGAAAGTAAGCACACGTGAAAGACTGAATGGCACGTTGACATCCTTGAGGACACCCGGCGCAAGATCACGCTAAGAGTTTCGCAGGAAAGGGAAAAAGAAAAATCTGACGGCAAATGACGCTGAGGATGCGGTACGTTTGGATGTAACAGTCGGCAAACAAAGCACGCCACATCATTGCGCAACAGTAATTTTCGTTCCAGAGAGCTCTGGTTGGCCAAACGGAAACACAGTTGGAGGGGATTTTTACAGCAGATGCTACACTTATTGCTTGGAATAAACATGTGAAAGAAGATGAATTTTCTTGGCAGACTTTTCTTTTTTTAACCCTCTGCTTCATACAAGAGAGAAACTAAAATATTGAAGAAGGTGACAGAGAGGAGCGACACAAAATCCATCTACAGTGTCTGTGCTCAAATGGCATGAAGGATGTGGTGTTTTTTTTTTTTTGTTTGTTTGTTTTTCCGAGCTAAGAGAGCTACCACGGCTGCTGTCGGACACGCGGCTTCCCTCGCCGAGCGACAGAAACAAAGAAGATGAAACGACGTCATGTGATGATGACAATTATGGAGCTACTGTACTTGATATGGCCCGAACAGAATAATTTCTTCTCTCTTTTGTACATATTTAAGTTAAAATAGCATTGGAGGAAGACGAGCTTTGCAGCGTCCGGCAGTGGCGGTGCCGCCTCCTTTGGCATTCATTCACCCTTGTTCATTCGCTCGCACGCACGCTACTGCTATGCTGCTATGGCATTACAGGAGGAGGAGTGGGGGCGGGGGGGTTCCGTCCCCCTTTCTTCATAAAACATGCTTTTTGATAGAAAAAAAAAATTCACCAGAACAACTTCTGATTTGCTTCTGCACCAATGAACCTTACAGTATCTTTGAAGAGTTCTTCTTTTTGTTGCATTTGTCCTCATTTTAAGGACAAAAACAGAAAAGGGTTTTTGTTTTTTGTTTTTTTTTTTGCATAAAGACATGCGCTTTTCTTTCAGACTGCTGAGTCCTCCAGGACGCGTCAGCAGGAGGGTTGAGGAAATTGTGAGGAGGAGGAGAAGGAGGAGTCGCATCTATGCGAGTTATACAAACGTCACTCAGGATGATGGCGCGCCGCGCCGCCCCGGATACCCTCTCAGGTATTCGTGATTGCCGTCTTCATTGTCATGGCCGCTGCTGGGTTGCTATCTGGTTCTGGGCGGCTGTATCGTCTCGTTTTAGAGTGAGTGACCCAAATCGGGTTACGCAAGCTTGGATTTGTAGAAGCGGGAATATGGATCCTCTATGCCGTACTGGACCTGCCCAGTTCCTCCCTGATTGCTGAGGACACACAAGCGCAATACAAAAATGAGCTCAATGCTTTCTTATGCCGCATTTCCACAGCACAGCTGTCTTTTGAAATGAATGATTTTTGTCCACATTTTACCTTCAATGAGCTCCTCTTTTAGCTTGGACAGCTCCTTCCTCATCTCATCCATAATGTCCTACAGGAGGACAAAAGAGAAGACCTTTGCATTTCCTTTTCCTCCAAATGTGACAACAAGCAAACACTACTGTGACGTTACTGCTGGGTGATGAAGCTTCATTTTCAATTAGATGGCTTGACGAGTATATAATACGTTGGCCAACCTGTTTCAATCTGTCATAGTCAACAGCTTCTGTTGGCACGCCGTTGGCACTTAAGGATGCAGTCGGTGTCGGAGTAGATTTGGGTCTGAAAGAGGAGATTGGGAGAGTTCAACTATGTGGGCGGAGGGAGGGGGGAGACTCATGAACTAGGACAGAAAAAACAGGGAGGTCAGAAATCAGCACAGTATTTGGATGCAAATCTAATCAGCGGTGTGTCGACCATCGCCAAAAAAAAAAAAAAAAAAAAAAAATGACAGCTGGCTATACTATGTGACACGATAGCCGAACAGAATCTGAAAATCATTTTATTTTCGTCATAAAAGACGACATCCGGTAATACGTTATTTAGTCAATTGGAGCGTCTCCTTATTTAGGACTTG